CAGAATCATAAAAAGGGTGGGGAAGTCGCAGGCGAAACGCCCGGCTCGCCCTAAAAACTGGCCCTGGGGTGCGACAGGTACAAGTTATTCATAAGGGAAAAGACTGGAAGAGGAGGAGGAGGAAGAGGAGGACAAGAAAGAGAATGGGGGACGCTCTGGAGCCGCAAAGGGCTCCTGCGGGGCCATTTTTCGGTGCTTCCTGGGCCGTCTGAAGGGGTCTGGGGGGGCGGGGCCTGGGGCGTTTGGGGTGCATTCATGGGGGGGTATGGTCCTGGGCTGTCTGGGGGGTCCGAGCGGTGGGCGGCGGTGTGTGGCGGCTGGAAAGTGACACTGGTCGCTGCAACGTGAGGGGGGGGCTAATCCCACCAGCCTCCTGGGTGGAAGCGGTTTAGCAATCTCCTTTCCTCCCCTCCGGAGACGGGGTTCCTCCTCCCCCATATGCCCATGCCCTGGGCCCAGGGCCGGGAAGCAGCCAGAGCGACCAAGATGGCTCCAAGATGGTCCACGTAGCCCAAGATGGCCTCCAGAATGGCGACTTCCCAGCAGCAAAACAAACAGCACACGCAAACGTTTCAAACCGAATCATGGAAAATGCGCCGCTTTCTGCTGAGCCGCCGCCGTGCCAATGGCACGGTGAAGCGTCAGGATGCCAGGGGTGGCTTTCCATGGGCGACCTCCCCCCCTCGCCGCGCCCATGCCTCAGAAATTCTCAAATCGGGACCCTACGCGTCGCCCTCTGGTCAGTCTTCACGGCCCCACGACCGCCGGAGATTGCCGAATGAACTCGAGAAGGCTGCAGTATGCCCTAGGCAGGCTCACGGCAGCCAAACGCCCCAGGGGCCTCAAGACGTTCCCGAGAATCCTCTAGAGGCTCCGAGAAACTCAAGGAGGCCTTCCCAGTAGCCTGTAGCATAGAGGACCAAAGGCGCCCAAAACGATACCTCTTGCTACTCCATACACACACACACACACACACACACACACACACGCACGCACGCACGCACGCACGCACACACACACACACACACACACACACACACACACACACACACACACACACGCGCGCTTCGCGCGCACTTAGGTTCTAGCACGCCCTAGCCTTTGACAAGCAGACTCGCGCAATTATTCGGGGGCATCTCGGGGGCCTTGTGGTTTCCTGGGAGCTGTTGTTTCTTGCGGTGTCTCTTCGCAATCCTGCTTTCGTGCGCGGTCGCGCAACGGATTAACTGTTAACACTCAGGCGATGCGCTCGCATCACTACTTTGATCATTATTAAATGTACCTCCGCACATCTGCCAACGGAGCGGTGGGCACTTGATTTCCCGAACCAGCCATCAACTTGGTAGCACGCGCAAAGAACGTGAGTTGCCAAGGTGCTCTTCGCAGAAAGCAACTCCTCTCCGAGGCCGGACTTCTGCCAATGTTTCGGAAGATCGAATCGAACCACGCGTTCGCCCGGATGAAAAGACAGGCGCCAGACGTTCACATAGGTGTGGCAACGAACATGACTTAATCAGCACCTCCAGCTCATATGGTAACCCTTTTCTGATCGTCTCTGTGTTCTTGGGGAGTCTGCTTCGTGAGCGGGTTGGGCTGCTGGGTTTGGGCGCTCTGAAGAGGTACTGCCCATGGCAACATCTTGTTGAACATTGAAATGCTATCGATCCACCTGTCCAGTATGAGAAGTACGCAGCGTGACAGCGTGTCCCAGACGTCATCTACCCACTGAGCACTTGGCTTTCCCACACGGTTCTTCCGAACAGCAGAATCGAGCCATGATAACTGAATGTTCCGTGTCCGCATTATTTTTGACTGTTGGGCGAATGTCAACTGCGAAAACAAGCCGCATTCGGTCATTCTCAAAACGCTCTCACACTTTGAAGGTCCTTCCTTCCTTCCTGCGCAAAGAATCAAAATGATAGAAATGCGAAAGTGTTCGGCAAGAGGCTCTCGAAGTATAACGATGCACCTTGAATTCACGAACGCTGAGGAAACCACGTCACTGCGTGGTGCATCTGGGCAAAAACGCCGCGATCTCCAATTGCTCCGCACACTTCTCTCCGCGAGCGCTTCGTTCCATAAGACTGCTGGGACTTATATCCATGTGTCTCAAAACTGGTAACAATATGCTTGTTCTAAAATGGCCCACCACTATGCGTGCACACGCCGGGCACGCGCGGAATTCCTGCCCTTTCTCATCCTTGGAACCATCAGTTCTTCTGCACACATGCGCCTTGTCAAAAGTCGACTCGCTGGGCGGATGGTTGTAAGAGGCTCCCGTGGCCCAGTCTGTTCGCAGTGCCTCGTCATTCTCGTCCACCAGCGACAAATTAAGCACCTGGGCGGTGTGCCGCAGGTGGTAATCTAGCGTGCTGCCTCCAGTCGTGGGTACGTGGAAATGAACGAGCGGCACACCGACTGATGGGAAGGGCACCTCTCTGGGTGCGGGCGTGACGCGCCCGACGGCCCGAGCATCACCAGGCTCGGCCGCAACTTCGGC